CCCCAAAACCCCAAAACCCCAAAACCCCAAAACCCCGGGATCTCATGGAGTTATTGATTTCTGATAAATTCTAAAATTTAAATTATGCGTCCTTGCATTCGATGATTTCAGTAGCTTTCTGGGTCATTTTGGCTTCTCTCTTCTTGGGCTTTTCGGACTTCTTTGAATCTTGAGGTTCCTCTTTGGAGGTGTCTTCTAGGTCTGGTAAGGGCTTTGCCAACTCTGTGGCAGTTTCAATATCCTTGTTTTCCTCTATGAGATTGACTTTGAGAGTGTTCTCAGTGTCAGAGTCATCTGAAAGAGTCAGAATTGGTTGGGAATGAACTAATTTGGCGCCAGATTTGTTATGTCTTTTACGACGTTTCTCCATGAAGGGATTTTGTTTGATGAAAGCTCTCTTGTTCATCTTCATTTTGACTTCCTCATCGAACCTGTCAATCATGCATTTCTCGTATTTTCTAGTAGGTCTTTTTATAGTGTCAGAGTTTCTCCATGGCTGGAGCCTGGACAATTCAACTTCTTGTCCCTCTTCAGTGTAAGTTCTGGTCAAATAAGATCTGAATCTTCGTGAATCAGTGTAATCTGGGTGAGAATGGTAGGTGATCTTCTTTGGAAAGATGGCTTTCATGAACTGCTCGAGCTCTCTTGCATTGGAATGGGAGGAGTAGTAGCTCTTGTATATGAACCTTTTAGAGCTACTGTCTTCGTTAGACCTTGCACTCATAGTTATGAAAATGGTTGGGCATTCTTCGTTATATTTTTCGATATCCATTCCTTTCCGTTCTTCCTTGGTCTTTATGTGAATCCAGCCATCATCTGGGTTGGTTGAGTAGAGTTCTGGTTCTAAATCTAAAAGTTGAATTTTGCGGTATCGTTCTTCGTCAACGATGACCTTAGTCTTGAATTCTTTAGCTAGGCTGGCAAATACCTCCTCTTTTCCAAGCAAGTAGACAAAGAGATAGACTCGGAACTTCTTATGTCTCCGGATAATCTTGCAGATTCCGTCGTAAGCCTCTTGTTTTTGTGGATGATCCTTGATTGGATCAGCAAAGGTCGCATCCATAATGAGGTGATCTATCTCAATGGAGCATTTGAACTTCTCCTCATTATCAAGTTCTGGAGGGAAAAGCTGCTTGAAGGTGAAGAACTCCTCCGTGAACCTGAAATCCCCTGTATGGATGACCCTGCCCATCCTTCCTTCGAACAACATCATGACTGAGCCAGGGCAGTGGTTTGAATCAAATAGGGTCACTTGGACTGTTTCAGTTTGTTCCTTATCAAGAAATATTTGATATTTCTGGTTACATTCTAGGCCGACACATCGAGTCTCAAGGTTTGGGTAGAGGTCAACCAAAAGGGTCCTTGTCGGGTTATACGCATAAATAATCCCCAAATCCCATGAGTCATGTAGCTCTGAGTAATGATCAGTATGGAAATGGCTGAGGAAGTACACGTAGCTGTTCACATCATTATTTCCCTGGCTGAACTTGTCAACCAGAATGTTTGTTCCTGGGATGAGTGACATTTTTAAATTTATAATTAATTTTGTGACTAATTGGCAACATTTAAATATCGAAAGGGGTTTTGGGGTTTTGGGGTTTTGGGGTTTTGGGG